AGATTTTTAAGAATTATAATACAGTTATTTATTAAAAAAATGCGACATGATCCATCAATTTGAACACATTAATAGAAAAACGTATGAAATCAAGAAATTAAAGAATCAAGAATGCGAGTATTTTTTCATACGGTATATTTTAGTTCAAATTTCCAACGACAGATGGTGCTGTTCCGGTGCTGGAAAACATTCTAATATATATCCTATAAAGGAAGACTTGCAAGTGATACTTCCTACTAAAACTGATTATTGAAATTACTGTAATGAGCTTGAAAAGGAATAAATGCTGTATAATCCTAGTCATTCTAGTCTTATAAATTTAAAGTTGTTGAGCATTTCACGCATCGCAACTCTCTAATTAATATTGAGAACACTTCTTGAAATTTATTAACACTTGCTAATCAATGGTTCTTTGGTTTGAAGAACTACTGTAATGAAATTTTTTCAAAACAACATTTAACTGTGAAATGTTTAATTAGACTTTAATGGTATTATGTTAAGTAACTAATAATTTTACGTTACTAATCGTTACTGTTACTTCTTCAATTCCGTTTTTCTGCCAACATGCAAATTTAGCTCGCGTGTATTTAAGTGAGTGTTTCAGGTTGTTTTACTCAGAGGGTATTTCGAAGGCTACACTACTAGTTGGTATTTTATGATAGCATTCGTGAATACGGTGTTGCTTTATTCTTGCAGACTATACTGTCAAGTCGGTGTAGGCTAAGAGCCAATTTGCGCGTTTAAATACCGGCTAATTAAGCCTTAGATTTCTTTTTCATTTAAATTTCTACTTTGGGGTTTGTGCCATAATTGCTGGCTGGTTTGTAAGTACCGGCAGTGCCCTCTGTTATACAAATTTGAATTTGAGTTCTTAATCAAAGCTCCTTTGGCACATTTCTATTTGCTTATCAAGGCAAAGATACGTCGCTTAAGTCTACATCACAATCCTTAACTTAGTGTATGTTACCAAACCAAGTGAGGCTGTACAAGCTTCAGTCAGACAGTACATTCAGAAAGATGGCACCCGAGAAATAGAACCAATTCAGAAATCTACACAATATAGAGTATTCACACATCATAAATTTTACTAGCACCCAGCGATTAAGATAGGCAGGTCACCTTAATTACAATGACCGAAAACAGAACTACCAAAAAGATTCACGTACGAGCCAACAGGAACTCAAAAGACAGGGAAACCGAAACACAGATAACTAAGACTGCTTGCAGAAATAGTTGTCTAAGTCATTTACTAGAAGATTAAGGCCAAGAGTAGAATAGCCTCAAACGAAATGTTAAAGATGATTTATCATGGGATGCTGAATCCTTGACAGCCGATCATATGCTATCGAATCGCTGAAGTTTTATAAAAATGCAAAACTAATACCGCCATCTGTCGGCGGAAATTTGAACTAAGGTATATCTGAAAAATCTGCTCCGGTGATAAATCCTTAGGTGGAAAGAATATTCTAATTCATAACTTTGTTAACTTTACATACTTTTTAAGTGCGTCTAAATTTATAGATAGGAAATCCATTACAAAAACATTACTTTAAATATTCCAATTTTATTATACAATCGGCTTTCGTGATTTATTTAATTATGATAACTACATTACATTAATATTAAAAACAAAATTAAAAACAGATGGTCCTCGACTTTAACAATGGTTCAACATTGGTTTCAAGAAGAAGCAAAACCTTGTACATTTACGGCTACACATACGTCATACAATATGATATGAGCGCTGCCTAGGAGTATATTGAGAAATATAGCATGTTTCTATAGCAAAATATACTTAGCTTATAATCCTTCTGCAAAAGAGTATGTCTTATAAAATCTGAAAAAAATGTTGTGTTATTTTGAATAGGCTCAATACATGATGTGTTGTTATTAATACATACAATAAATGATATACTATTAGTGCTTTCCTAGCAGTCTTTTGAGACCGACTACCAATGTTAATCTGATTGATTGTTAGACATCATTCATCTTCTTTTCCGATGTGTATGTAAATGGGGGAAAAAGTGTCCTCTTTCCCTTAATTATTTTCAGTTAAGAAGTAGAAACACGTTGCTGCCATTAATTATTTTTGTACCAAACTTCGTAACGATGTGATTTGAAAAATGATGCTTCCAGCTTGGCGGTAAAATCCCCGAGGGAGTCATAATTGATCCTGTATTAGCAAAAGGTTGAATCGGTGTAAAATATAATTGCTGAAATTATCAGTTCTGATATCTTACTTTCTGTTTATTGCTTCGTTCTAAAATAAATAACAAGAAAGACCATCATCGTTTCCATCATTAATGCAGTCCATTGAAAATTCAGTTTTTGCTCCTGGACCTGGTGCAAACGTAAGCCTCATCTTGAACACATCAACAGAGATTCTCCCCGTCAAGTCGGGGACAACTTCTTTTAAAACGTAAGGTCGCCAAGTTTGGCAGAATTACAATTAATTACAATTAAAAGAATTACAATTAAAAGTAAATTTGAATTACATTACAAAGGCAGAATTACAATTAAAAGCAGACGCGCATGTCTTGGAAAACTAAAATCCTTAGAATCGATTACGCTTCGGAGACTAGCAAAAGAAGATTTTAGAAGAAATATTTATCATCCAAGCATTTGGAAAGTTGCCTCGGCGAGAAAGGTATGATATTTAATTATCTTCTATACGGTCTTATTCCGTGGTTTTCGCCATCTGTAACGTAGATACGAGCTAGGTTTTCTTAGAAAGTCTTCCATGAAGGAGTGCGGCCGAGCGGTAAAGTCGCTGAACACTGGTAGTTCGGTCCGAGGTTCGAATCCCGCGAACGGGCTGGCTGCATGGGTGTTTTCGTGGTTTTCCCCATGTGTAACGTATATACGAGCCAGTTTACCTTAGAAAGTCCTCCACGAAGGCATCCCTCCCCTTAGGCAGATAGCCCTAGTTTGCTTTGCCATAATTAAATACACACACACACACACACACACACACACATCCATGAAGGAGTACCTCCTTCTAAGCGGATAGCCTTTGTGTGCTTTGCCATAATCAGATAAACCGTCTAGAAGGTCTTATGTATATAATATTTTCGATTTTGTTACGTATTTTCTCCCAACTTATCGTACGGCTTCATAGTGTAAATTGGAAAGCACACCCGGTTTTCATGGGAAGTCCGAAATTCGAACCACGGCAAAACCATTGCATACTCTCCGTACTTCCTTCTTCGAAAAACCTAATGAAGCTTCAAATCTATTCCTTAAATGTTATTAATCTGTTACTAATTAATAAATGAGCGATTTAAAGGCAATAAACGCACATCCTAATAATTTAAATTTTTATTTCACGTTTTTATAGAAACCGATATAAATTAACTCCTTGATATACAATGACGTCCGGGAGACATCATTGATTTCATGTGCCATTGTAAACTATTGACGTCTCTGAGAAGACTTCGGCGAACGCCGCGCAGTATATTATTATTGTTACATAGCAAGTGTCAATTTGGAAATAAAACGTTCTGTTTCTAAGCTTGCACATGAGAGTTCACATTAATGGTATTCTTCGGACGCGTATTTTATTTGTACGTTAAGGGGTTAAGATACATCTAATTAATACGAGTAATACATGAAACAGATAATTATTAGAAATATTTGACCGTTGTTACATTCTTTTAATAAAAAATGTACCTAGCGTCTTATGTAACAAGTGGTATAACTTTATTTGTGTCGTTTGAATATTGATGTGTCGAGATATTGAATTGTAATCTGAAAATTTTTTATTGCTTTCTGTAGGTTAGGTGCCTTAGATAGAGTTCCATCTCACATTTTCTTTTCAATTTACGTTGATTTATTAGGTATTAATCCCATCTAAGTCGAGGAGCATCTGAACTGCGATAAATGTTTATTTCTAATTAATTTTTTAAAATTTAGAAGTATATGTTTTCATGCAGATTTTTCATGCAGTAGACGCTTCTTCGAGATATGGATAGTACGAAAAATTATCACTTTACAAACTGCATTACAACATTCAGGTATTTTGAATTTTAACACAAATAGAGAACACTTATACAATGCAATAACAACAATGCCCTTAAAATCCGCATTATGTAACAACTCTCTCTAAAATATTCGATGAGATCTGTCATCTCATCGAATATTAATGACAACTGAATAACAAGAATGCAACAAATTGCATTTTAACGTAAAACAAATATATTAACAATCATTCTTACTAATAATTACATTATATTAATTGCATTTATTTTTCTTGTTTATAATGCTGCAGATGTATCTGAAGGGCAAATCAATTCTTGCAGCTATTGTATGAGCTTTTTAATTTGCTACTTATATTACGAATATTTCCGAGATTTGGGGGAATGCAGTTTTTTCTGATAGTTTCCTGCTGTAGAATTGAGTATAAGGGATGGGACTTTTGACTGGTCCGTGTGATTTATTTTTGGAGCTATACACTTTTTCAGTAATGGCACAGTGATTGCTTCTAATTTATGGCCGGTACTGGAATTATAGCATCAGATGAAAATATCACAAAATCGAATTACATGAATAGAGAATCAAACATACTCATAATTAGAGTAACACGCTTCCATTGCTGGTTAAATTTTTTCTGTTATTTATCTTCTAATAGAAATATTTTTAATTCGTTATGTAATATTTTTAACTTAGTTTTTCTTGTAGTAATATGGGTACCGATTTGTAAGGTAGTCCAAGATAATAATTACATTTATATTTGGAATTTTTATTCATTTTGGTTTATAGAAATACCATTTATTGGAACAGAAATAAGAAGGTATTCTTTTTTGCGTGTCTGATTTTCTGATGTGTTTTTGAGTGAAACTCCGCAAACGAATGATTGGAAAAATAACCAAAAAATGGATTACTTCGCACATCGATTACTTTTTTTTACTTTTAGATGGTAGTTCTCTTTCTCATTCCTTAATTTTATTTTTTGAATAAATCTTAGAAATTATAACAGTAAAATATTCAAATGCGTAACTCCATTTCAGTTCGATGGCACATTGTTTTTTAATTTGTGATGACGAAGACGACATAATGCAGATAACAAAACACATCTACTTCCAATAAAACTGTATGTACGAACTGACACTGGTACGAATATATCACAGATATATTTAGTCAGCAAAAGTACAAAGATATTACACTACACTTTCTTCTTTATCGCTCTCTTTAACTGTCTGAAGTGCCCCGACAGTTGATTGTTGCCTTTTGACTTCGAGGTCAGAAACTTGAGCATTGTGGGAAAAAACGTTTGTGAACCATTCCTTCAAAGACACCTTTGGCAGGTCAAGCTCGTCTGCAGACCACGACCTCTTCCACGAAGGATTTTTTTGTTTAAATTTTCTCAAGTTTTCAACCTGCTTCCTCTTTGCATAAATAAGAGGTTTGTTTGCATCGTCTGCAGCTGCCAATGATGCTACTTCGGCTTCTTTGATAGTAGGTTTGTAATTGCTAGAAAGTCTTTTGGGTCCTCCAGAAGAATAATTGCCATAAAACCCTTCGTCTGGATTCTCCAAGCTGTCCGGGTTGGAACCTTCAAAGGCCATATTAAAACCCCATTCATTGCCATCCCATGGTTCTGATTGCGAAGTGTCCCGTGTTGCAACAGCAGCGGATGGATTTAGACGTTTTGGTATGCGGGGACTGTCTTGGGATACTCGAAGAAATAACGATTTCCCAGGAACAGAGCCGTTAGGTAAAGGTACGCCGTCGTCTACAGAGCGATAGATTTGAGCTGGAGCCGTCCGACGAGGAAATTCCGTTTTGGGACTTCGTCTTCTATTTTCTGATTCACGTATATTGAAAAGCGGCGGTGGAAGTATGATTCCGCGAACTGCGTTCCGCTTCTTACCGGATGATGGATCGTGGCCAAGTAGCCAATAGGTCTTCATTTCCCCTTTGCCCTGAAAAAGAAGTTCCAGTTACTGAAAGCTTAAGTTAAAAATAAGACACAGAGAATATTACGAGAACTGAGAATGAAAAGAAGTAAGAAATAAAAGAAATTTTATATAATAAAAATCAATAATTTCTTCAACTGACTCTATTATCTTAGTACTGTAGGCGGCGGTTAACGTGATCGAGGTTAATGTTTTCATTCGAATATTGTTATGGAATCGCCGAAGTCCTGCTCGTTTGTATAAGAAAACACAGAAAATACTTCGTTTGTTGTGATTAACAGTTCAGTAAATGTGATGAAACTGTTAAAGAATATATTTTTTACATAGAAGTAAAATCTCCAAATAAGGTCAAAATAAGTTAAAAAATTTGTCAAGTGACAGAAAATGTCGCTTACGGAGGGATTCAGTGTTAAGTCGCCGAAGATCTTCGTTTAGATTTTAATCAATCATTTAAGATTAGGCCAAAAAAAATCTAGGTTTGATATAGATTTTCAATAATTATCGATTTTGAAGGTGATCAGATATAGATTCCTCTTCATCAGTAGAAAGATTCTGCAAATTCTTTTATTCCCTTAAAATGTTTTCTGCATGCATGTACGTCAAACTAAGATTGCATTTTCTGCCTAATTTTAAATTTTGCATTGGCATGTTCTATTCCAGTGGAAATGTTCTCTGACTATTAAGAGCAAGGTCACGGGATGCAGAATCGGTCTGCTTCCAAGAAATATTATGAGCATTTCATAAATGAACTTTTACATTAAATACACTATGAACAGTTCCAAAGCAAACTTCTACGTTTCCTAATTAAAATGCTTTGAAACTTTCTGTTTATATGTTTCTTGGTCAATTTATATTAAATTAGTTTATTTCCATTGCTAGTTTGAAAGACATTTTAATGTTAATAAAATAGCCGTGGACAAACATTACTGCACTGTAATTATAGTATTTATTTTATTAAGAAATGTATTGAAATAGCAGACGATGCTTGATAAAGTAAAAAAATTAATAGAAAAGTAAATTGCCTCAAGATATATACGGATTACGTAGTTATAAGAATTTCTTCAGAAGTTCATAAAAATGAACGAAAAAACTATCGCAAACATTGGAATTATTCGGTCGATCCACTCACGTTTGCATTACACAATGATGCACAACTAAAAATAATTCAACAGAGGTTTTTTGCAGAAATTGGAAGTTTAAAACTATCGAAATGTAAAAGCTAGCTTTAGATAAGTTAACCCTTTGCGGCACAGTGTGTCCGGTGTGGACACACCTAAAAATTTCCTTCTGTACGCACAGATAAATTAATTGAAAAAGGATTTATAAGTTAGTATAGGTTACTCTGAACCTTCTTTATTTATAGTAGATGGCATCTCAACACAAACCAGTCCATATATTTTAGCCATGTTTAGTTTTTTAAGACCCTCATTTTTCAAAGAAATCTTCCAAATATTTTTAGGGTATATAAAAAGAATTGCTTGAAAAGAAACGTCTGTTATTTTTTTTTGGCTGCATGCTAATCTCCTGATTCTATATTAGTTTTAAATTTTTACACTGAAATCTTGCTTAAAATCAAAAGGCGGACTCTAGGTGTGCCCATAATCTCACCCATAATCTAGGACAACTGAGAGTCTGTATTCTTTGTTTCTACGCATGTCATCGGTCAGTTCATTGACAACAATGCTCGTTTCAGCACTCTTTTCGAAGCTCTATCCAATCAGTGGGCCCACTTTGGGCACATGCACAGAATTAAACAATAAGTGCTATCTTCACAAAATTTTATTTGTGTACTCCTCTAAACCTAATTAGACTGTCTACCTTTTAAAGTTAGAGTTTTGATTTAAAAAAAAAAAAAAAAAAAAAAAAAAAAAAAAAAAAAAAGAAAAGGTAGCGTGCCGGAAAGGGTTAAATGTTAGTTAGGCTTTTCGGCTGAACACAAAGTTTAATGCATTTTGAATAAGTACACTGGGGGGGGGGAGCTTGAATGTAGGGAGTCTGCTGAAGTCTAGTGTGCCTGAGTATGTGGGCTGTCGGTCAGAAGGAGAAGCTGTTATTTAAACACTCCATTTTCAATTGCGTTTAAAGATTTCAGTACACTCATATGCTGGAGAGCTACGGTTGGAAAATTAAACTTCTGAAAACGAAGTTTCATGAATAGCCAAATGCATGCATTATCTAAAACTTGTACTAATTTTGGTTTTCCAGACCGATTGGAAGGACATGAGATTCAACACGAATATGTTAGTCGAGATTCCAAGTTGTGTTTCTTGAACTGTATTGTTTAATTTTAGAACTTGAAGTATTGAATAGCATTAGATTGTAAGGCTAGCTCTTCAATTTAAGTTAAAATTGAATATTTTCGAATAGGTCGTTTAAAGACCTTATTTTCAAATATTTTAAACATCTGAAATATTGTAAAGATTTTATTTTATTCTAAACAATTATTTTTTTAATTTCAGGAACTTTCCTTTCTCTTCTGATTTCAGTTTTCTACCACAATGTAAATTTTAATGACGTGTGTGCAAATTCGAAGTGAGTTCGGAGTCCCTATTTAAACGGCGGTTTTAAGAGTTCGTGAGTAGTAGTAGGAGAGTGAGTTGTTCTGAATTTATGCGGCGTGTTTAAAGTAGCCGTGATCGTGAATAGTTGGTGGTTAGCCACACTGTTTAGATTATATTGAAATTCTCGATTCGGCTTTGCTAGGTGCAGTCGATTTAGAGGTTTTAGATAAATGAATGGCTAGTTGCGTAGTCAGTGTTACTTTATTGCGATTTTACATTTTTATTTTCTGTTCGAGTTATTTAGCCACAAAAAGTGGTAAATTGTGAGCACCGAGTGAGTGCACGTTTTGTTTAGTTCAAATAAAAGGGTTATTTAAACTTTCTGCAGTATCTGTTCGTCAAGGACATAGCAAGAGTCCGCTACTTTGTGTTTCCAGGGTATATCCTGGGATGAGTCGGAAACAGTTCAAGTACGAAAAACGAGCATTTTGCACTTTTAATATATGCGTTACCGTGGACAAAATCAAAGGTCGTCACAGAATCACGCAAACAGAAAAACTCGATCCTTAAAATAGTCAAAAAAGTGTTGTAAGGACGTTAATTCGTACTTATTCAATAAAAACCTATTATCGAATTTTTCGGCCAAAAACATTACCTCTCCTACTTATGTGTATATAGGTTATCGAGAGCTTAAAACAAATTCAGTTTCGAAAATAAGTTTTCATTAATTTACAAGAACTGAATTCAAAGCTGTGATATGTATATTTCTAGAAATAAGAATTTAAATATTTCGGCAAGTTCGGTTTTGGGACGTAGAGAGAAGTAATACTCTTATTCTTTAGCTGCCTTTTCTCCTAACCAATGACGTAAAACTATTTTTGAGACTCTTTTGTAAACGGGGAAAACCAAATTATTTTCTTAAATTGGCCCGAAGATATCAAAATTTCGCTTTGAGTTCTTTATAAAAGCCCATATACCACACGTTTCTTTGGGTTATTTGAAAGAGAAATCCAGAAATATTTCCTTCGCAGGCCGGTCTCAAAGTAAATAACTGTCTGCAGGATGTATTTGCTTTTGCTTCCGACTTCACAAAATAAATAAAGTTTTCCATGTTGAAAGGAAAAAGAGACTTTTACAACTGCAGAGGAGTGACACGAGAGATACTGAACGTGTCAGAAACATGTTGCCCGTCAAATACTAAAGAATACTTCGGAAGTCTAACTCTGAGTTTATTAAGTTCGTGCCATAGAAGGCTTGGAGCAAAATCATCAACAGAAAAGATTTTTTGAACAGTAGGAAATATTACGTATCTGTAGTACATACAGCATAATATTTCATATATGTATATATATATATATATATATATATATATATATACAGCATTTCACTATATAGAATTACACACAATTTTCTAAAAAGTGACTACAAGTTTCATTTCCTTAGTGACTGGTTCTAAAGTGTTACCAATTTAAATCAATTCGTGGTTTAAAATATGACATCTTTTACTTTCTAAATGTAAAATGAATGCAGTTTCGCGCCTGAATCAAGTGAAGAAAGCGTGATAAAAGCTATATTAAAGCGATGAAAACGTTTTAAGATTTAACTATCAAAAATTAAGTTTTTGATTTAATATTTTAGCTATTGAAATTTATCGTTTTAATCTTAGAAAAATATTCCAATATTTACTATCAAAATTACTGAATTCAAATTATCAAAATAGCTATAAATTTAGATATCAAAATTTCAATATTTAGCTATAAAAATATTACCGTATAATTTACGTATTATAAATACAAGTACGAAATCTGGAAGTTATAAAAAGGTGCTTTTTATGTGGTTTTTAATCGTTTATCCAACATATTAGATCTTCTGCATAATGTTTATTATAAGATGTGTAATATTTTGGGATATAAACTATACAAACGTCTACAAACTAACTACAAAGAAGTCTAAATAGCAATCATTAATGCTAGTGGTTTAAAACATGTTATTTAAAGCCTTTTGTTAAGCTGTAAATCGTTTAAAATATATACAGGTTTCACTATAAGTAAGTAAGGAAATATATAATTAAACATGTATTACTGTCTGTCTGTGTGTGTGTGGGGGGGGGGGGAGAATAGTCTCTTTAATGGAAATAAAATTTAATTATTAGGTTTTCATTCTGAAATTTATTTATAACTCATTAAAGTAATGTATAACTGTTAAAACGGGACTAAAATGAAGTGTAATGAGTGAATCTGAAATATTGAACACATGGCTTTGATTTAAATCGATTATTTTTATGTTATAGAAACACATCCGTAAATTTCATTTCTTTGCCTAAGCTTTAGGGTTAGTATTTCAATACACGTTTTTCACGTAGTACACACAAACACTTTGCCTAAGCTTTAGGGTTAGTATTTCAATACACGTTTTTCACGTAGTACACACAAATACAGCTTCAAATACAGTTATGATTCCTCCGTTTATTTTGTTGAAAGGATTTAAAACTTAAGGACAAATGCTGTATGATTTAGAATATTTATAATTTAATAATACAAATCAATGATTCGCTTAAGATAAAAAAATGATTCCTGACCTTCATTTTTACTAAACCTCTTGATTGTATTTCATAACCACCAAGTCTTTCCAGAATCTTCCGACAGTGATCGCTGATGTGGATTTTCAGAGCTGCAAACAAAGAAAAACGAGTGCGTAAAATTAGACGTTCGCAAAAATAAATGGAATTATCCACAAATAATTTAAGCAAAGAATGTCGGATTTCGGATGCCTTTATGGAAGTGAAATAATCAAATTCGTAGTGAAGCATTAAACGAAAAATGTACATCCGGCAAGTTTTAATTGGCCAGCTATATGAAAGAACATTACTTAACTTTGTAGTCTTTTAAAAAGAAACCTTTGCTGTTTCTATGGGAGATAAAAACAGGTCATGCAATATATTAGCTATAAAAGAGTCTGCATCGGAGAAGAAATAGGAAAGTTAGCTGTGAAAGATAAGGTAGAAACCATCAATTAAACATACTCTTCAACTGGTCTTATCAAAGGTGAAATTACTCTCATTTTTTGCACGATGACAGTTTATTGGTAGTTAAGAGCACTGATAGCAGTTTATAGAAAAAAAACTGTTCCCCTAATAAAAATGCATTTAAATTATTGAAAAAGGAAGTTATGAGTACTCTATTTTCTCTCCTATTCCCCCCTTTCTAAATTCTTTTTATCATTCGAAAATTGAGAGCGAAAATTTTGTAAGTATTTGAATTTCTGAAACACTAGTTATAGAAGGAATGCAATCTTGTATAACCAATAAAAAGTTGTAAAATAGAAAACAATTGAAAAAAAATTAAACGACGAATGAAAATAACAGATAAGAAGTAGTTATGGATAAACGATCCGTAGTTATTTATGGGAACTATCACAATGTTATTCCTTAAGAAACTATATTCGAATCAGAATACATTGTAGTATCAACATTGCAATATCCGACGGGTACAGAGGGGGGGGGGTGTCTGACTGAGCGGCTGAGTTATCTTGTAGCCTGGGAGCATCTTACGTGAATGAGAGTTCCACGCAGGCTTCCACGAGAAAAGAAAGTGAAGGGGGGACGACTCATCGCATCTTTTTTCAAAGTGTATTGATTTTATTCACGCGAATGAAAATGATGTTTTCTTTAAATTCTTATTAATTGGAGTATTAGTCAATTATATCGGAATGCTGGATTTATTCTCATTGTTCAACATACATATGAACTTTGGTATTTCAAATCTTTCACGTAATTGTAATTTTTTATATCAGCACTAAGATGCAGAATAGAATAAATGCAAGATATGCACACATAAGGTAAAAATTTGGAAGTAGAAGAAGTTCTTTAGATCTAGGAAATTCAACAGAATGTGTAAATTATTCTTCCAATTCGAAGCTTTTTTTTTTTTTTTTTTTTTTTTTTTTTTTGGAATGGCAGAGTATATAAAACGCAAATGTACTATGAGATATAGTGAAGATTGCTCACTTATAATTTCAGAACCACATGTTCTCTGCGCTGGAACATTTTTTTTTATGGAAATCTGTCACGTAATTAGTTTTGCATAATTATCGTCCAGATAATTATGCAAAACTAATTAATCCAGACACATTTTGCAGCGTATTTGTTCTTCACTATTTCTCTTATTAGTAAATTTACGTTTTGTATACTATGCCATTCCCAAAATAAGCTTCGACTTGGAAGAATTAAATAGAACAAATGTTAAAAAATAAATGTCATGTTAAATCAAATAATAATATAGTAGCTCTTTTGTTTTAAGTTCAGTATTCACTTTGATCTAAATTTGTGCAACAATTGCGATAATGTGTATTTTCCAAAAATTATTCTTTTGGTTTTAAAGTGCTTCTTTTTTGACCGCTTAATAGAGAAATTTCTTTTGAAATCAATATTTAAACAAATTCAGAATATTCTGGAAAAGAGTTTAGTAATGCTTTGGCAGGGGGAAAAGTGAATTTTGCCAAATAATATTGCGAGAAATTTAATTTATGTAAATAAATTGAAGCTTTGAAAGTTAATTTGTAAAGTGCAATGAAACGTTTCATAGCAAGCATTTGAAAAGTGATTTCTACATATATTCACTGAAATCTATTAAAAACAAGAGCAAAAGTTACTACTTAAAACTGTTAGACTGATACACAAAATCAGAAACCCCGGGTTAATTACAAGGATAATTTATATAGAATTCAGGATCATTCAAAATACTTTGCATATTATTTAGATAATCAGTTGAGAGAGCTAAAAATTCTGGCTGCTTTTCCCATAATATCTATCATATCTAACACCATTTAATAGTTCAGATGTTGGTTTATAAACTATATGTTTCAGATGCTTCATAAAGTAAATTCAGCATTGACGGTACTTAATAAATCATATTCAAAATTAAGAGACAGAATAAATCATATTCAGAAATTAAGAGACAGTTGACGAAGGACGATATATTTGCTTTCACATTTTTAGGGTCAATATTTATAGGGTCACTTCCATCACAGATGCCCTCTAATTTAAAGTGTAATTTCATACTTCTTCTGCCTTTAGTAGATAGATGGCGTTTTCATAGAACTTGTAAAACTATGTATGCTTGAAGTTTGAAATACTTACTATGACTTTGGTGGCCGCTGTTACATACTGAAATTACATACATACATATGTTGTTTTGCAATAAAATGTTTTGTGCCGTTTAATTATTTAATTACTTTGGATTACAATCTGTATTGGTGATTATTAATATCTTCGACTGTTCTATGAAATTTTAAATCGATACTAATGCTCTCCCATTTGAGATATAGAATCTCATGACATCAATACTCTTTCCAAATTCAGACTACAGTCACTAACACACGCATTTTTAAGAGCGATGATCTTTCGTATAAGTACAGGCATTCAGATTTTTATTAATTATACTTTCTATAGAAACAGAACTTCAATAGAACAAAAAATAACATTTTATTCATTATATGCATTATAAAATTAAATTTCTCGCAATATTAATTGGCAAAATTAACTTTTTTTCCCCTCCCAAAACATCACTCAACTTTTTTCCAACAACTTCAGAACACTTACAGTTGACTACAGTTATTTTGTTTAACTTGAAATATAGTTGATATTTTAAATATTGGTTGCAAAAGAAATTCTCTAATAAGCAGTCAAAAAGGGAGCACTTTAAAAACCAATAGAATTATTTTTGAAAAACACACATCATCACAACTGTTGCACAAATTTAGCATCAAAGTGAATACGTGAACTCAAAACAAAAGTATTAGTGTATTATTGTTTGATTAAACATGACATTTATTTGCTTTAATATTTGTTCTGTTTAACGAATGTTCTTCCATTTCGAAGCTTATTTTTGGAATGGAATATAAAACGTAAATTTAAGCTTTTTTTTGGAATGGAATATAAAACGTAACTAATAAGAGATACAGTGAAGTACAAATACGCTCCAAAATCTGGACGGTAATTATACAAAACTAATTACGTGGCAGTTTTCCATAAAAAAAATTGTTCCAGCGCAGGGAACATGCGGGCGGTCTTCTGAAATTCTAAGTGAACGCCTCATCTTCACTACATCTCTTCATAGTAAATTTACGTTTTATATACTGTGCCATTCCGAAAATAAGCTTCGAATTGGAAGTATATTTACACATTATACTGAATTTCCTATCCGAAGAACGTTTACTTCCAAATTGTTACTTTATAACTGCATATCCTGCACTTATTCCATTTGTCATCTTGTTGGTGATAGAAAAAAATACAATTACGTGAAAGATTTGAAATACCGAAGTTCATAGGTACGTTGAAAAATGAGAGCAAATCCAGCATTTCGACATAATTGACTAATACTTTAATTAATAAAAATTTAAAGAAAACATCATTTTCATTCCCGTTAATAAAATAAATACATCTTGAAAAGGTTGAGATGAGTCGTCCCCCCTTCACTTTCTGTCCTTGTGGGATTTGTCTTCCATTATGATTGTGTTGAAGTTTTAACTCCAGGTCATTTTAAAATTTTTAGACATGTTACAGCGATTACTATTACAGAACCAGAACTTCTGCAGAAGCCTGAGAACACATTAAGCCACTGGCAAAAAATTACCAAATTTGTCCAAGGATTTTGGAAAAACGCAATAATGGGCACTTAAATCATTTTCAACAAAGAAAACAAAAGTCAGTTTAAAAAAAAGCGTTAAAATTAATTCTGGGATGTTGATAAAGGAGGACCGTTAATAAATGGTCCTTGGTCGTATTGTAGAGGTTTTCCCTGTAACTGATGGCAATAGAGTAGTCACTATTCGAACTTCAAAATGTCTGTTGTAATGAAGTTATCTATTTTGTTGTAAACAGTTGAATTCTTGTGAACTTTAAAATAACGTAACAACTTGATATTTCTGTACTATTTAGTTGATTGCAATGTCATTATCATAAATGTGTTTTGCTATATTTTACAATCAATACCGAATATTATGTATTTTTAAAGTATTTATTATTATAATGTAATTGATATTTTCTTGTACATTATTTGTTAAATAAAATCATTCAATGAAGGAAAGAATGTTGATACCTTTAATTGTAATTGCGACAAACATGGCGATCTTGCACTTCGAATTTAAACGCCGCCAATTTAGGCGGGAAAATGTTACTTCGTTCGTCTCCTAGCACTAAGTCGTATCAGTGTCAATTGTTCAGAACTTCGGTTCTAAGCAATGTATCGCATGTATTATTTTGTGTTGTTTTTAAACAAAACTAAGGAAAGACTTTCGCTCCATACAGTCCACAATTAGACAAAACATAGCTAAAATGACGGTATTTTAAACAGAAACTATACTTACGTTCCCCGTTGGATTCCATTCGCGAAGCAGTATTTACAGTATCGCCGAAAAGACAGTACCTGGGCATAGTTAAACCAACTACTCCAGCAACCACAGGTCCTGTTAGAGAAAAGGTAGTTCACTTTAATCAACTTTTAATTCAGTTTGTTGAGGAAAAAACACCTCATATTTTACTTTTAAGTTGGTCATTAATTTTCATCATCATTAATCTTCATCAATCTTCAAGATAGTCAATTAGACTATCTTCGGTACATTCAAAATTTTGATAGCAGCTATTTCTAAAGGCGGATTCTATAAATGTTGCTTTCCGTGTGGTTGACACAAAGAAATTATTTACTTCCTGACCCTTTGTCGTGCTACAATATTTTACATAGCAATCACAACTTAGTTCACGTATGTTTGTATTCCTACATGTGGATTTTTTTCTTCCCTTGAAGAACTGGCACTGAAATTTAACTATCTGCTATTGACATATTTACTTGTCTTTCAGGAAATGATAGTTCAGCGCTAAGGAATGACTCAAAGTACAAACGAACATATATGTACTTGCATATTTTGTTTACGAAGATGTATTTAATTAAGCTAAATTCTACATGCTAGTCAATAGAATTAAATGCGAATTAGATATAAAACAAGGAATCAATAACACTATTATCACGTGATTAAGAAGTGGGGATATTGTATCGCCTGGTTTCCGTAATCTTTAAGAAATATATTGAAAAAAAAATTACTGAAAGAATCCCTACGTATTTTTGCTTTTTTACTCAGCCAGTTCGTTGTTAAAATCACTGAGCAAGGGCATATAATAGCCTAACATTATCTCTGTGGGCGGGGGAATGAATTTCTAGCCATCTCATCGGAACATCAAAAGTTCCTATCAAACAGTTCTTGTTAAACGTAGTAAGAAAATTCTTTCTTTTTATCTTGTATATCATTTAAAGAGATGAACTGATAGAAAAAGTTTGCTTTTGTATTCTTTCATACATTTTAAGAAAGACATCATTATGCTTTCGTCAAACCTTTGTAACGTGAAGTATGTTCGTGACAGAATTGTTATCTGAAAATATGCTTTGGTAGCAATGTTTTTGAAAAAAAATTCTGACAGGCGAAATACTTTGCTTTCGCAATAACAAAACATAATACCAAAAATGACAAGCGGATGAAATCAGATCTGTATGTCTGAATTCATACCGAAAAAATAAATCAAACCAAGATATGTGCAGAATATTTATGAGCACTACTGTGTTCAAAATGTCGCATTTCAATCGAACTGAAAGCGATAATTATTATTTTGTATTTCGAATAATTAACTTCTTTTAAGATCAGTGGTTAACCTTCTTTTTTTCCCCTGAATTCTCATTTTAGAAAACACATAGGTAATTCTCTACATTAATTTTTTTACTAGATGGCATCACAGACATAAATATCGAATAAACACTGAAATCCGTTGTTAAGAAAATAAAATTTAACCCATAATAATAAATCATTATGGGTTACTAATGCAGCATAAAAAGAGTCCTATGAGAACTTTGTGGAAATGAAATACACTCTGCCCGAAAAAAATTGGGATTAGAAAGATCTACAGGGTGAATGTGAACAAATGGGCAGAAAGTTTAGAGGGTGATAGAATGCAGCTTTACGAGCAGTATTCGTTATAGAATGTATGGTCGGAACGCAAATGATGAGCCTCTAGATGCGTTGTAAATGGTATAAAATTGGCATATTTCTAAATCATCCTTTACAATAGGTTACATAAAGCTGTTTAGTTTGGTATATATATATATATATTCATAACGAAAATGAATATATATATATATATATTTATAACAACAATGTAACAAATTAACATTTCAACTTCTCTCATATAATATTTCTTTTTGTAACCCTTCAAAACTGCCGTGGCATGAGACAAGACAAAGAACAGAAAGAGAGGATGCACTTGTAATCCTTTTAAGTAGTACATTTCCTTACGAACCTGTAGTAGAAATCATAAAGGAAAGATTCAGGCAATCAAACAGAAACACACTATACAGGCAATCAATTAAACGATCAAGGCATGAAATGAGCTTCCTGCTGAATAGTCACATTCCATTCATTTCGTACCTTGACATATCAGGCGGACTGCTTCTGACGTTTAAGCGTTCGAGCATATTAAGTATTCCTCTCAGCATCAATTCTAAGCATCATGCATATACTAAAGTCATACATTTTGGCATAATTCTAAGTCCAGTAACGCATGATACCTGTTTAAATATCGTATTTCACAATTACGTCTTTAAAAATATTCTAACAGAAAATACTTTTGTTTGCTTGAATTTCAATTCTGAAATTAGTTCGAGTTTAGTTTCTTCAATGCTAAATCCTATAAACTAATTCTTATCCATGTCTTATAGTTAAAAAGTTTTAATTTAAAAGCAGAAAGAATATTTACTTCTAAAAATATGGTAGAAGACAATTCGCTGACGTCTTTAGATATCCGAAGGGTACAAATAATAATAAAAAATCACATTTTGAATGCGATGAGCATTTGTTTGAAATATCACGCATTATTGTGAATATATAACAATAACAACAAAACGCAATTTTCCCCTCTTTCTGAAAAGTGTAATTTGATTTTGTTTTAATGAGTGCAACCATCTTTATCATCCATCGCAGCACGTCCTTTCGTTTGTTGGTCCAACGGATTTTCTTTATCCAACAAATCGCATATGCACGCGCTGAATCTTCACATACACGTAGATTTCATTTTTATGTTTCATCGCCATGATTTAATTTCTTTTTCTGATGGTTTTCCTCATTCAGAACGGAACGTGCTTTACTTCTAAATTAACGAAAGCATAAATCTATGCTTTTTAATACTACCTAGTAAGCTGTTCTTGATAAAATACTCCTTAGCAAATCGGTTCGGATTCTAATGATCTGTGAGACTTTCCAAAGCATGGAATGCTTACCACTTTCGTGCCGATTGTCACGCATACGTGCCAACAAAAAACGCATTCATTTCCCGGTTGGCGTACACTAGCGTTCCAGAGCGTTCTCTCGTTCACCCCCGGCCGTCACAAATTTGTGCCAGTGTCTTTGAACGTTTTAAAAGATGAAACTTTTGCTCCAACATGGCATTGCATGCCCATAGGATTTGAGATACTTGTAGATTTGACCTTCTACTAAAAATGAGAGAAAAACATGACTCACTCAGGGTGGGAAATCAATTAAAATTTATGCACCTCTCCTGCGTCCTAGATGACACAACTGAGGGAACTGTCTCCTTCTGAGACACCCCCATATTAGGCATAGGGTGGGTCTCAGCAGGTGAGCCACAAAACGAATTCTACCCAGTAGGCTGGAGTACCGGGCGACAAATTCCAAAACTTAGCCACAGCCCTTTTAACAAATTCAACTTAGGAGTTTTGAACTAATTCACTTATGTCTGGAGAACCGGGTCTCACACTGGCTCTTAGCCTCAGACGAGATAACTCCCAAAACCCTTCGCTTATTAGGCCGGGCTCGAGGGGTCACCACTCCCTGTTCTTGGCTTTTCGGCGGAGGCATGACCTGATTACCTGATGGACTTGATTGATCGTTTAATGCTCCCTTCAGTACTACGTGGGCAGCGCGTCTCATAAGGACTGCCGTCCCACACTAAGCAACAGAACCGTATGTTCTACGACTTACGCTAAACCTCCGAGATCAGACCGTATAAAGGACCCAACCTCGGGTTCTGAAACCGCCAGGTTCTTGATGTTATACCCCTGTGGTCCGTACCTAGGTACAGATCCTAGCCAGTAGCTTCACAGAGTTCTCTACGTCGACCCCGGGGGGGAAGTTTGGGAAAGGAAAGCAGAATGTAAACAAATAGGAGATAGCTTATCCCGTGTCGTCAGAGGTTGAGCTCTATGAGTGCTGCCTTCCACTCTCCGTTAAAGATTCTCTTACTTCTTGTAAATAGTCTTTCTTGTACTAATTTTTAATTAATTTTGAAGTTTATTAACGTGTTTTGTCAATTAAAATTTAATTAAAATTTAAAATTATTTTTAAAGTAAACAGTTTTTTTTTAACATTTTTCATGTAAATTAAAGGAAAAACTATTAAATGTTAATTTTAAAGTATATGATAGCTTAAGAATTTTTCTTCTCGCTCATTTTTCAGAGAAAAATAGAATGGCACAGAAAATAAGACTGGCACACATACCACAGACCATATATAAGACAGCAAATGAACGATAAAAATGTGTTAGCTTCAGGTAAGGTTACCACCTATGCCGGATTTAGACTTGATAAATCTGTTATACTATATTTTAATATTACATTTAAACTATATTTTATTTGAATTTTTTTAGGCGGGGCCAAGAAAGTGGAGACCCGAAGCTATATCTTGTGTAGTATGTACGTAAATCCTGCACTGATTACCAAAATTAAAACTATCGTCATTGGCGTTTGGAGTTTTAATCTAGACCAGGGTTTCTTAAATTTTTTAGTCTGGGGACCCCACAATATTAACGATAATTTTGTGGGACCCCATAATTATTGAGAAAATTCGACACAAGCATGAGTGAAACTATCAGTTTCTTCACTTGTACTGTAATACGCTATTGCAGTTTTGAGTCATTAATTTTTATTTTTAAAGTAAAATGAACGTTTCTATTATAAAAAATATGTCAAAACGTTTTCGTTTTGTCTCTGTATTGTCTTATCTTTATCAATTTTCAGAGACATTATGTAAAAATATTTAATAATTGTAAAATTATTATAAGTTAAATAAATATCAAAATTGCTAAAATTTCATTTTGTGGGACCCCATAATTATTGAGAAAATTCGACACAAGCATGAGTGAAAACTATCAGTTTCTTCACTTGTACTGTAATACGCTATTGCAGTTTTGAGTCATTAATTTTTATTTTTAAAGTAAAATGAACGTTTCTATTATAAAAAATATGTCAAAACGTTTTCGTTTTGTCTCTGTATTGTCTTATCTTTATCAATTTTCAGAGACATTATGTAAAAATATTTAATAATTGTAAAATTATTATAAGTTAAATAAATATCAAAATTGCTAAAATTTTCATTTTGTGGGACCCCATAATTATTGAGAAAATTCGACACAAGCATGAGTGAAACTATCAGTTTCTTCACTTGTACTGTAATACGCTATTGCAGTTTTGAGTCATTAATTTTTATTTTTAAAGTAAAATGAACGTTTCTATTATAAAAAATATGTCAAAACGTTTTCGTTTTGTCTCTGTATTGTCTTATCTTTATCAATTTTCAGAGACATTATGTAAAAATATTTAATAATTGTAAAATTATTATAAGTTAAATAAATATCAAAATTGCTAAAATTTTCATTTTGTGGGACCCCATAATTATTGAGAAAATTCGACACAAGCATGAGTGAAACTATCAGTTTCTTCACTTGTACTGTAATACGCTATTGCAGTTTTGAGTCATTAATTTTTATTTTTAAAGTAAAATGAACGTTTCTATTATAAAAAATATGTCAAAACGTTTTCGTTTTGTCTCTGTATTGTCTTATCTTTATCAATTTTCAGAGACATTATGTAAAAATATTTAATAATTGTAAAATTATTATAAGTTAAATAAATATCAAAATTGCTAAAATTTTCATTTTGTGGGACCCCATAATTATTGAGAAAATTCGACACAAGCATGAGTGAAACTATCAGTTTCTTCACTTGTACTGTAATACGCTATTGCAGTTTTGAGTCATTAATTTTTATTTTTAAAGTAAAATGAACGTTTCTATTATAAAAAATATGTCAAAACGTTTTCGTTTTGTCTCTGTATTGTCTTACCTTTATCAATTTTCAGAGACATTATGTAAAAATATTAATAATTGTAAAATTATTATAAGTTAAAAAATATCAAAATTGCTAAAATAAAATTGTCATTTTGTGGGACCCCATAATTATTGAGAAAATTCGACACAAGCATGAGTGAAACTATCAGTTTCTTCACTTGTACTGTAATACGCTATTGCAGTTTTGAGTCATTAATTTTTATTTTTAAAGTAAAATGAACGTTTCTATTATAAAAAATATGTCAAAACGTTTTCGTTTTGTCTCTGTATTGTCTTATCTTTATCAATTTTCAGAGACATTATGTAAAAATATTTAATAATTGTAAAATTATTATAAGTTAAATAAATATCAAAATTGCTAAAATTTTCATTTTGTGGGACCCCATAATTATTGAGAAAATTCGACACAAGCATGAGTGAAACTATCAGTTTCTTCACTTGTACTGTAATACGCTATTGCAGTTTTAAGTCATTAATTTTTATTTTTAAAGTAAAATGAACGTTTCTATTATAAAAAAATATGTCAAAACGTTTTAGTTTTGTCTCTGTATTGTCTTATCTTTATCAATTTTCAGAGACATTATGTAAAAATATTTAATAATTGTAAAATTATTATAAGTTAAATAAATCAAAATTGCTAAAATTTTCATTTTGTGGGACCCCATAATTATTGAGAAAATTCGACACAAGCATGAGTGAAACTATCAGTTTCTTCACTTGTATTGTAATACGCTATTGCAGTTTTGAGTCATTAATTTTTATTTTAAAGTAAAATGAACGTTTCTATTATAAAAAATATGTCAAAACGTTTTCGTTTTGTCTCTGTATTGTCTTACCTTTATCAATTTTCAGAGACATTATGTAAAAATATTTAATAATTGTAAAATTATTATAAGTTAAGTAAATATCAAAATTGCTAAAATTTTTGGCGACCCCCTACTTCAGGTCCCGCGACCTCAGTTGCGGTCACGACCCACAGTTTAAGAAACTCTGATCTAGAGCAATTTAAATCGATAAAATCTCAGCATTTCTCAGTCTAGCAGCATTTTCGCTCTCGTTGCGACATGCTTGAATATTAAATAATTTTTTCCCGCTTTTGAAAAAAAAATTTCGCCAAGTTATCACCGTTTCCGTGCTCATTCAATCTATTATAAACCCATATTCATGTAACAATTTTTCATTTTGAAGCAAAAGTAACGAATAAGTCTTTCCCGCAAATTTTACTAACAAACGAGTATCAATATGCTTCGATTTCGCAGCCCTTTATGTATAAAACATTTTATCATACTGTAAAAATAAAAATTTATCTTCCAGAAGAACTTTATCTTTTCAAAAGTGATATCATAACATCAAAGCCGTGGTTATAAGTCAGCTATCCCATACTGCATAGGTATTACTATCCAATGTTGGCTTTATTATTATAATAATTCTTTATGCTTACCTGAATGTATTCCTATCCTCAATTTCAGTGTCTGATTCGGTTTATGACGTATCTTAAATGTTTTCACAGCTTCCAGTAGATCCAGAGCCATGCTTGAAATTTCTCCGGCATGCTGCTCGCCGTTTCTAATTGGTAGTCCACTGACGACCATATAAGCGTCACCAATAGTTTCTACTTTATACACATCATAGTTACCGATAATGGAATCGAAGACAGTGTACAGGTCATTCAGGAACGTCACTACCTAAAATAATTCACAAGAAATTTCATGACCATACAAGGTATTCTCAGAATTATTATGTCTTACAGAAAACAATTTGATAGTAATGTTATATTCCCTACAAAATATGTATGATAAAAAACAGCTACTTCGGAATAAAAATTAATATTGCGCCAGAAACTGCTATCACACATAAATCTTGGAGGTAAATGTGGCCTTAAATAGTAATGGCTAATCTAAACGATACATTCAAGGATGGGTACATCACTGATCGAAAATATTACCGTACAAAAATATTTGAAAAAATTACTAAGTTTAAGAATTTCTTGAGTCTGGCGAAGCGTAATCCTTTATATGTTTATCTTTACTTAGTATGTTTTTGCTTACTTAGGTGAGTTGCTGTTATTGTGTACAGCTAACAATAGCGTAAAAAATCTAAATTAATACCCTTCGTTTTCAACCTCACTGAGCTGGTGCATCATCTTTTTTCCAGGTGTTGATATTGGACACTGATAACTGATCTATATTATTAACTGTCATATTGTACGTACTTGTTGATAAAACGTGTGACATAGACACCATATAACCTCCTTCTACTAAACTATACACAATTTTTGCTACATTTCATTTAATCGAATTCTCTCGCGTTATTGTAACTTAATCAGCCGATACTTGAAAGCAAGTTGAAAATGACATCAAAAATTGAAAATTTTGAAATCTCGCTCAATTTTTATCTTACTAGAAGTCAAACTTTGTTTATTTTTTTTTTTTTTTCGTAACGAGTATAAATCTTTCCAAAATATAAGTATAGGAACATACATTCAAAGAGATCACATTAAAAGTTACATTTCTTTATTAGAGCAAATTTAATTTTATTAAATCTGACATTGCAAAACATATACATTTTTGTCATTTAAAACAAAGTAAGATAGTAGATCCGATATTAAGTGATGATACTAAATAAGACATTTTAAGTTAATAAAGCGCTAAGCAAGAAATACCTTAATTAAGAACCAACGCAAGAAAGACACCTATCGGAGGTAAAACGCTAAGCAAGAAAGACAGATAATGAGCAAATGCGAAAGCCAGAAAGCAAAAAAGTCATTGAGCAACAGGCAAGACTCAAAGCAAGAGAGACAGTAAATTAAACGCTAAAAAAGACAATGAGAAAGACACTGAGTAAATAAAACGTAAAGAAAAACAGTAAGTAAGGCAGCAAGTAAGTACGCAAGACACTAATTAAGGCACTAAGAAAAAAGACAGAAGACACTGCTCTTCTGTCTAAACGTTTTACGTCGGCCTTCTTCAGTTAACCTTCAAATAAATATATTTGGAATTTCGTTTCGTTTGGTTCAGCGATTAGGCCGCTAGAGATATATCTCGGACTCTGAGAGAACGGCGGAACCTAGAACCTCGAATTTCGAATGTTCGTATGTATATCTGTAAGCTGGAACGGAATATTCTTCTTTTGACATCCCAGATTGGCAACACCTTTACCAACAAAAACACGTGACTGATTATCAGGGAGACGCCATTCGGGAGATTGAGACGAGAGAAGGGAGCGAAGACAGCCGCGATGTCATCCAAAAACAGAAGCGATGATGCAATTTGACGAATCAATGGAACTATGGTGCATTTTAGTGATACCGTTTGATATGACGTCCTCCTCTGTCTGTGTATGAGAAGAACAGCCCCGCCACAGTGTCTGGCGGGTGGCGGTCGCTATAGCAACAGGACTAGTATATTTCAAACAGGGCCGAGCCAAGGGTTGCTTTATTGTTATTTTGTTTTTGGTGACTGTTGGCTGAGGGTAAAAAAAAAAGGGTTATCATTTATCTTCAAGACACACCTACGGAAAATGGGTCAAGGCTCGTTTCTACCGCAACAGACAGCTGGTAGACTAACTGGCGAGAGATTTTCTTATGATAGACAGACTGTATGGATTCATTTTTTCATCTTACTTCTTTTCAATTTGTACATATTATCTTCGTGTTAATTGTTCCGTCATTAAGAGATCATAAAATACCTACGCTGTTCTTCACTATTAAGACTGAGCACAAACCACATCTCAGATATCTGTAGATGTGTGCGCGCGTATACATACGTACGTTCGAGGCTACATAGCTAGCTACACACGCATGTACATTTCAGAATCCGCTCATTATAACAGAAAAATATCCATATTTTATTCAAATTTAAGAAACTTTTGATTAAAAACTCAGTTGTTTAAAATTTTGTTTTACCATTCTTTAAAGAGTATGAAAGGATTCAAATGTAATCCGAAAAATCCGCGATATGAAGGAAATATTTTGCCATTCGCCGTAATGAAATATGTTTGCTTTTCAAGTTTAATCAACAACCTTACCGACTAAAAGGTTTTGCCACAAAGTTGTGTAGTAACACACAATCTAGTTGTGTTACTACATGGACTCGGGAAATTACAAAAGCTGAATTTATTAAAGTCATTATTTTTTTTTTAAGTTTTCGTAACTAGCTATGAGAATTCTGTTTGTAGCTACTGCAATGGAAACTCCGGCGTAAACATAAGTCAAACGGCCTTGTCACAATTTTCAAAATTCTTATCACCAAAATAAAACTTGTGAACCCATTCGATATACCCATGAGTCGCCAAATTCCTTGTGTATCGTATACTGGGATAAGACCCAAACAGAAACTGCTTATATGAAGTAACTTTGATTTAAAATCAAGTTACCTTTCACAAGCAAATAATAAAAGAAGTGTCGAGCTAATTGCAAGTCTAATTAAATATGTATGATTTAATATTAATAGTGTAAATAAGTATGTTGCAGACACAATAGGATATTTGGAAGCGCGAGTGTGTGTGTGTGTGATTATGGCAAAGCCTCGAGGGCTATCTGCCTAAGGGGAGGAATGCCTTCGTGGAGGGCTTTCTAAAACGCCGTTCCCACTGGGGTTTATCTGAGCTAACGGAGTCAGTTCCCCGTGTCGACTAGCTCCGCTGTGCCTGCAGTTCAGATTTTACAACTTGCTGCTCTATGGGGAAAAACTGGTTTTGGGGATGGGTCGACTACGTTAGTTGTGTTCGTTAGCTCAGATAAACCCCAGTGGGAACGGGCCTTAAGGGAACTGGCTTGTATACACGTTACACATGACGAAAACGCCCATGCAGCAGCTCGTTCACGGAATTCGAACCTCGGACCGAACTACCAGTGTTCTGCGACTTTATTGCTCGGCCGCTGGTGGGCGGATATTTGGAAGCAGGAGATGTGAAAAGTGAGCAATGCCCTCGCCGGGACTCGAACCCCGGACCTCTCGATACGCGCCGAGTATGCTGTCCACTACACCACGAAGGCACACTAAGAAGGCGGGAGAAATACCTTATTGGTCGAATTTTGAATTTCGCATTGGTTTCCGATTTGTTTTTCAAACTTTGCTTGAACGAATTTTTGATAAAAAAACTCAGCGATTCGAAAGAGAGAAGTGGCAATGCTGTTCAACAACAACAACAACAAAAAAAAAACATTTTTACCTCCGTCGCACCACACTATTGCCATTCGACAAAATGTAAGATATGTATCATTCAATTTTTAATTCACAAATTCGCTATTTGAAATACAATATTTACAATATCCATGCACCATAGTATTCCCAGTCAGTAAAGCATAAGATTTCAAATTTAATCTTTCTGTTATTGAAAAGCAAATTAAGTGATTGAAAAGAAATAAAAGCAGTTCTTCGATATTTTTTTCGACTTTTTAGATTTAAATAAAAATACACTTAATTCATGAGATATATTTAGAAATATTAAGTATTTACAAGCTAACACTACCGGGTCCATCAAAAACATGCACTCTCTTTTTAAGATAAATATTTTATGGTTCAAAAGGTACTTTTGAAACAAATATAACAAATATATAAAATATGTATGGCAACCGCTCTATTGGAAAATTAACGACATTCTGTTTTTAAATATTTTGTCATTTTACTCTACAATTTTACGTGGCATAAGCGCGAAGAAAGCGATGCTTAACAATAAAAGTAAAAAAAAAATCTGAAATCTTTCAGATTTTACATTACGGCCAAAGGGTCGTTTGTGTAACGTTTTGTGTGTTGCCTTTATTTATTAAATATGTTCTTCGCACTTAAACCATAAAATTCAGCTCAACAGCAATATCGCAAAATAATTTTTTAAAAGAGCATATCTTTAGAATTTCCGAAACAGAGTCTCGCGCGCTGGAGATAATTTATGTTTTTCTCGTAGTGTTGCCATTGCTCGCTTTGAAATCGTCGAGGTTGTTAATCAAAAATTCGTTAAACTGTAAGAAAATATGAAATCCATAATAAAACAAATTTCAAATTCCAAAATTGGGCTTCGAGATGCCCATATTCGGGAGGAAATGTACGTTATTCAAAATTGGATGGCTCTAGGTACCGTTGTTTTATCGCAATGCGAGAAACATACATATATTTATGGCGATTCTTCATTATTTAATTTTTTAAATATAATACAGGACTGTAATATTTGGTGGCAACAGTTTGAAAAGTGAACCGACATTTATCGTGAACCAACGCAAAATGCTAAAACGAAATTAATAGCCCTTTGGCCTAAATATGTGTTTGCAGAAATGAATCCAAGAACACATCAGTAACTTGAGATATTAAGTGACAGTATAAAAATCTCACCAATCTTAGGTGCGCCGTTAAGTTCCGAGTCCTTTCAAATTTTAGGCCCACCAGCGGCCCACCACCGAGCGGTAAAGTCGCTGAACACTGGTAGTTCGGTCCGAGGTTCGAATCCCGCGAACGGGCTGGCTGCATGGGTGTTTTCGTGGTTTTCCCTATGTGTAACGTGTATACGAGCCAGTTTCCCTTAGAAAGTCCTCCACGAAGGCATCCCTCCCCTTAGGCAGATAGCCCTAATGTGCTTTGCCATAATTAAATACACCACACACACCTTTCAAATTTTCTTCCATTCTTTAAAATCTGCCATTAGGAAAGAAGAAGAAAATACGCTTAAACACCTCCAATGAACAAGTAAATCT